CTTTGGCAGGTCCCTATTGGTGAATCGCAACACAGACCCTTGGGATTTTGGAGCAAAGCTCTGCCATCCTCTGCAGATAACTACTCCTTTTGAGAAACAGCTTTTAGCTTGTTACTGGGCTTTAGTAGAGATTAAACACCTACCCATGGGCCACAAAGTGACCACGACAAAATGATGAAAGAGTGAGATGAGTTCAGGGCTGCTGAGTCACAGCTTAAAGGTCACATAAAAGACCTCAGCTTCCAGTTGTGCTCTGAAAGAATGCCTTATATTTTCTAGTAACAGAGCTGATATTGCTGAAAACCAAATCCAGAGTCTTATTGTAAGGGTGGCTGAATTACAACGCCAATAAATTGCCAACCCAGAATGGTGTCTGACATTAAAGTGAGGGCATTGATGGGGAAAAAATGGGATCCTGAAACCTGGAATGGGGACATATGGGCAGATAGTTAGGAAGATCAGTATGTGGAGCCTGTAAATTCTGTTGAATCCCTCCCATCTGAAAGGATTACTGTAAAACCATTATCCCCTCCACCTCAGTTTGATGGGATTAACCCAACTGTTCCTGCCGGGTCATTGCCTGAGACAGAGGCCATGGAAGACATTGCTGAATGTTCTCAGGAACTTCCCCAACCGCCCATTGTTGCTGCTAGACCCATAACTAAAGTTAAGTCCAAGCAAGCCCCAAAAGGTGAAATACAAAATGTGACTGAGGAGGTGGTATGCTACACCCGAAAAGACCTACTTGATTTTGCTAACTTGTACAGAAAGAAACCTGGAGAATATGGTACCTGGAGTGGGATGCTGTTCTGACAGATAGCTAAAATGTGGAAACAGGAGTGGAGTGCATCCTTGACCTGAGGCACTGACAGAGAGACCTCAGCATATGGCATGAGAGATGGCAGGAGCAGAGTTAAGACATTGGTAGAGAGATCCCAGCAGAAATCCCAGCATGAAAGATGGCAGTAGCAGAGCCCAGAGACTGGCATTAAACAGCAACAGGCTTACCAGACCATGGGGGAGAAAGCTGGGGCCATTGAGTAGACAGCTTCCTGGCAGAGTTGGTTGCCTTCAGGCATTAATTGGTGAAGAGACTGACATAAAATGAAGTAGCAGGTTAGCTGGCCTACAGAGCAAGAAAGCTGAGTGCTTTTGTGGCAGGAAGATTTCAGATGGAGTGGGTTGCCTTTGGCATTAATCAGCAGAATTGGAGAGACCAAGGAAACTGAAGCAGAGCTGCCTCAGCCTGAAAAGGTAGGACCATGGCCTTTGGGGGTGGAATCACCACAGTCCCCTAGGTTTCAGAGCCAGACCTTCACCAACTTGGTTCTGGAGTGTGGGGCTACTTGTTTATGTGAGCTAGTGGGATGGAGCCAAAGCTGCTGCCCAAGAGTCAGGGGCAGGGCTGCCATGCCCAAGAGGGAGAGGAATGGGGCTTGCCAGGCCAATGGGGTAAGGTCACCACTTAGAGGAACTAGGGGACTGGAGCCACCCAGTGAGAGATCTGTACAAATGCCACCCAATGAAGATCTGTACAGATGCCAACCAAGTTGACAAGGGGTGGAATTATGGTAGTTCAGTTTCTGTGTCAACTTGGCTGGGCCTGGTTGAGTGGCTGGGCAGCTAGCTGGATGTAACGTGTCCCATGATGAGACTGGCAATCAACTCCATGGTGGAATCTACTGTGAGCAGCTGAGTAGCTGCCTTAGGGATGTGGTCTGCTTCCTGTATATAAGCAGACGCCTTGGGAATGGCTTATGGCACGCTTGGACCCTACATGTAGCTGTGTCATTGTTGAGCAGCCTGCCATGCTCTGCCAACCTTGGGACTTACAATGGACTTAAATTAATGGCCTGTCGTGTTTTGGTAACATCAGGACTGTGCCTTTTTACTTGTCAACCTTGGGCTTGGCAGCCTCAGCAGCCAGCAGCTGTCTGGGTGAAGAAAAACCTCTAGCTTCAGTGGGCTGGAAGCTGGAGGCAGAGCTGAAACCCAAGGCCGAGGGGCTTTCACCCAGCCCATAGAACTTGGCACTTTGAACTTAGACTTAAAGCCTCTAAATCATAAGAATAAACTCCTGTTTGTTTAAGGCATCCCATTTGTGGTATATTCTTGTCAGAGTGGTACTAGGTAACTAGAAAAGGGTATCATGCTGTCTATAATCTATTGGGACTTATGTTTTTCACTTAATATTAAGTATTACCAAGATTCATCCATATTGGTGCCTGTCGCTATTGCTTATTTGTTTTGACTACCATGTAATATTCCATTTTGTGGGTATACTTCATTTGCCTGCCAGCCTTAAAATTTTTTCTGCCATTGTCTATTCTTCTCTTCCTTGTGGATTTTTGCCTTAAAAAAAAAAAAAAAAAAAAAAAAAAAAAACTGTAGTATAAGCAGGGTTTTAGGAGGGAAGGAAATAAGATGTGTGTATTCAATACATGATTTTTATCTGGGCTACCTAAGAGATTTTGAAAAATAATTTTGACTATATAAGATGTTTTTACCTCCCTAACTTTTAGAATCTATGCCATGTGTAGAGTATGAATCCACTGTCCTCTAAACCTTGGTTGTTATGAATGACATCTAATACTAGAGAGCTGCAAGGACTTCTGTGATCATCTTGTCCAACTTTTTACCCAGCTGTGGTGGTTAAGTTTGTGTGTCAACTTGGTTAGGCCTGGTTGAGTGGCTGGGCAGCTGGATGTAGTATTCCCCATGATGAGACTGGTAATCAACTCCATGATGGAATCTATTGGAGTAGCTGATTTTGGGATGTGGTCTGCTTTCTGTATATAAGAAATACCTTTGGGAATGGTCTGTAGCTTATGGCATGCTTGGACCCTGCATGTAGCTGTGTTGTTGTTCAGCATCGTGCCATGCTCTGCCGACCTTGAGACTTACAGTGGACTTGAATTAATGGCCTGCTGTGTGGTTTGGTAACATTGGGACTTTGCCATTTTATTTGTTGATCTTGGGCTTGTTAGCCTCAGCGCCCCTAGCTGCCTGAGTGAAGAGATGCCTCTAGCTTCAGTGGGCTGGGAGCAAGAGGCAGAGCTGAAGCCCAAGGTCGAGGGGCTTTCATCCAGCCTCTAGACCTGGCACTTTGAACTTGGACTTCTAACCTCCCGAACTGTAAGAGAATAAACTCCTGTTTGTTCTAAGCATCCCATTTATGGTATATCCTTGTCAGAGCAGCACTAGGTGACCCGAATACTAGCCAAGGAATGTTTCTGGTCATGAAGCCACACATAACACTCTTTGACCTCAGAGATACCTTTCAGTCACTATAACTGAAAGAACAATCTTGATATTATAGTTAGCCTTTATAGCTTTATTGCAATTAAATGTGAGAGTTCCATTACACATTTTTAAATATTAAAAATAGCCCACCTTTGAGGAAATCTAGGGGTCTAGTAATGCAGGTTAAGACTGAAATTCTGAGCACCTACAACACAACAGGGAGCTTTGGTAGCGTAGTGCCTAAGGCACTTGACTACTAATCAGAAGGCTGGCAGTTCAAACCCACCAGCCACTCCTCAGAAGGAAGATGGGGCAATCTACTTCCGTAGTGATACTGCCTCGGAAACCCAAGGAGGGGTTGCTATGAGTTGGGTCTGACTGGACGGCACATAACAACAACATAACACAACAGAAGTTTTAACTCTTTTCTTTTTTTTTTTTTTTTTTTACAGGGATGTGATCAAGTGGCTGGTCAAAGTAGTAACTGAAGACAAATTGATTCAGCCCACAAATGGAAATCAAACCTCTTCAGAAACAGGAATCATGAAAACCAGCAATAACCACCTCTCTCCTGAATTCAACTTGACAAAGAACACCAATCAGCTGTAAGAAGCAAACAAAAATTGTCTTCCCCAGGAGCTATTGGGATTATGAGTTTTGGAGAACTTCCTGAGAGCCACTTCCCCAAAATTAACAACTCTTACATCATAGGCCGATTCTTGTTAAAGGCTACCTTAATTTGATTAAAGAGTCAATTTCTTATTTCCAAATGTAGAACAAAAGTAGTAGGTAATTTCCTCCTTAAATGAATAGGACGTCACTAAGTGAATACACATTCCAAAACAGGACTAAAACAAAAGCTAGCAGACACTGCCCTCCCTTTTCCTGGATTCCAAGAGACAATAAAGGGTGATAGCTCCTTATTGCTTCAGGTGTCTACTAACAGCAGAGAAGAGTGATGGGTAGTGGGTGTTCCAGCATCCTCTAGTCCTCAGGGACCTGCTTGTGACTCCTCCAGTCTGGGGAGCAGAACAGCAGTTCAACCTGAGATACCAACAAGTTATAACAGCAGTGGCTCAGACCAGATTTTGCTCAAGCTGCACTGGAAAGAGGTCTTTTATAGGATTAAGAATGCCATTGGCTTTTTTCTTTTTTTTGATAGATGCCAGGATTTTAGGATTTTAGGCTGCCCTTGCACAAATAGTCTACTATCCCATGTCAAACATGTTGTTAAAATATAGAATATGAAATGTTATTTTTCAAATATAACATTTGTGCCTAAAAATTCAGAATGCTATATTATAATCTAGTTGCACCAACCTGATTTTCCTATAAAGCCTGTGGGCATCAGTTAATTTAGGAAACTGCCTGCAGATTTCCTGAAAATGGAGCCCTTTCTTTCATTATAAATAATACACATTAGAAAAGAGTGACATCAATAAGACCAAAAGGTTAACAGCTATTTTAAAGCATGAATGAGAAGGTTGAGGAGCAAGGAAATTAAGGAAATGGAACAGAAATAGAGGGAATGTTGACACAACATGAAGAATGTAACCAATGTCATGATCATTATGTCTAGAAATTGTGGAATGGGAGTGGGTTCTCCTGTGAATATTCTCACTAAAAATAAAATTAAGAAAAAGAAAAGGTTGGCATCAGGCCAGACTCACCTTCCTGCTGAAAGGTGAGATTCCTTCGGGGTCTCCCAGATTCCTTTGCCATGACAGCCTGGCACTCTCCCAGTTAGGGGGATGGAAAGGCTCAGATTCCACCAGTCATAGTGCTGAGACTGATGTAGTAACAGACTGCTTTCAAGGAACCAGTAACAGGGGAAAACTATATGGCAATTATGGTTTTTTTTTTTTTTTTGACTGAAAGAAATTCAAGTAATTTGCATTAGTTTCTGATCCTTAGATGATCTGTAAAGTCCCCTTGGTCCTTAAAACTGTGTTTCTGTTTTATGAATTTGAGCAGTTTGCTTCTGTAGCTTAGCCGTACATTCTGAGTGGCTTAGATAGTATGATCTGGCAAAAGGGCTTCAGGAAGGTGAAACTGGTAAATAAAAGTGTGCTGATGGCTTCAGTCATTCTCCCTAACCTATAAACCAAAAAACTCACTGCCACTGAGTCGATTCCAACTCACAGCAACCATATGGGACAGAGTAGAAATCATAGGGTTTCCAAGGCTATAAATTTTTACAGAAGCAGGCTGCCTCATCTTTCTGTCACAGAGTAGTTGGTGGGTTCCAACCTCAGACTGTATGGTTAGCAGCCTAATTCTTTAACCACTGTGCCACCAGAATGCTTCCCTGACTTATAGTATGTGCTTTATAAGTTCCTCCTTTAGTACCCTTTATTCTTGATGTACACAGGGGCCTCCTCCCAGCCTTCAGGGTGGCTGCTTGCCAGACCATCCCACTCATATGTGTTCTGTGTTCTATATTCAGGATTGTCTGCCAGCTGCAGAGAATGCTGTCCATAGCCGTGGAGGTGGACAGAACCCCCACCTGCAGCTCCAATAAAATTGCTGAGATGATGTTTGGGTTTGTGCTAGACATTCCTGAGAGGAGTCAGAGGTAAGTCTGGTTTTATTTTTGTTTTTCATTTAAGTTGCTTTTCTTAAGACAACTTCCCTATCACTCCTACCTGCTGAAGAACAAAATTCACAATAGAAAATTCCAAATAGTTATTAAATTGGAAAGAAAGGGGTAGAGGGATTATTCTTGTCACTTTAACCTTTTGAGAGAAGGTTCTCCATTAATTGTTATTATTTGCAACTAAGGCATGATTTCTTGGGAAGAAACAGGATACCCTAAAGAGATCCTAAATTTTTCTGTCTTATCCATTTGGCTACTGACCTTACTCATCCTTCAAGATTCAGCTGTTAAGTACCACTGTAATGCAATAGATCACTTTTATATGGCCTTTCCAGCCATGTTCTTGGAACTCCTGCAAAAGCATTGGGTCAGACGGTGCAAATAAGGTGCTTGTGATCCACTAAGGGGATTGGACAGCTTGCTAATAATGCATATAAGGTGTATGGAACCCTAAAAAGAGGGTTGGTCAGTTTCACCATCCCACTAGGCTTAAAATGAGCCAGCCCAGAGGCAGAAAGAGGGGACCTCCCTACCACCAAGAAGAAAAGGAGCAAAGTACGTCCTTTGGACCTGAGTCCCTGCACCAAGATTCTCCTAGACACACACACACACACACACACAGAGGAAGAGACCTGTTGCACTAGAGATGGTGAGAAGTAGTAACAGAAACAGCAGCAGCAGAACCAGGAGGCTGGCATGAAATGGTGCAGTAGGCTTCCTAGCCATGGAGCAAGGCAGCTAAGTGGGCATACTGATCCACAGAGCAAGAGAGCTGAGTACCTCTGAAGGGGAATTTCACAGTATATAGCAAAATGATATGTACATTTACCTCTTGACCCTGAAGATATACTTTGAACAATATGAAAATACATATGCCAAGGATATTTGCTACAACATTGTTTGTAACTGCAAAATCTTGGAAACAACACAAATATGCCCATACATAGAATGGTTGAATATCTGTGGTACAGTTTATACGATGTAAAAAAAATTAAAAGTAAGAGGACATTTTCTAAATAAATAAATAAGAGGACATTTTCTACAGTTGATTTCCAAGATATATTGTTAAATGAGAAAAACAAAGTACAAAAGAGTATATACTTTAAATACACATACTTCTAATACATATATTTCTAAACATGTACCAATATACATATATATTTTTTATAAAAAAGAAGGGGAAATAAAAATATATGAATGATTTTGCTCATGTGTGAAAAAATAAAACACAGACTAATCAAACAGCTTACATATAGGGGAGTGAATGGGAATAGGGTAGGAAAGAGAAAAGAAATTGACCTGGGGTGTGGAGCTGGTGAGAATGATACTTCCCTAAGAATACCTTTTTCTGTAGTTATGACTTTTTAGAGTTTATAGGACCATGTTAATATTTCACATACAAAAAGAGAGAAAAATCAACCAACAAACAAGGGAGGGGTGGTGTCTAAAATGGAATACAAACAGAAATAAATGAACCTAACTATTTAAAATTAGTAACTTTTTTCTTAACTTTTTATTTTGAAATAACTATAAATTCATAGGAAGTTGCAACAAATAATACAAAGCACTTCTGTGTCTGTTTCATCCTATTTTCCCCTAATGGTAACATCTTATCTAACTATAGTATACTATCACAAGCAGAAAATTGAAATTGGTACAATTCACAGGCATAATTCAAATTTCACAGGTTTTATATAGACTAATTTGTAGTTGTATACAATTTTATCACAGGTGTAGATTTGTGCAACCAGTCAAGATACAGAATTGTTCCATCACCACAAGAATCCATCATGTTACCCTATCATAACTATTTTTGTTGTTAGGTACTGTTTTGGTTCTCTAGTGCTGTTCTAACAGAAGATACCAAAAATGAGTTGAGATGGCTTTAACAAACAGGGTTTTATTCTCTTACAGTTTAGGAGGCTAGAAGTCTGAATTCAAAGTGCCAGGCTCTAGGGACTGGATGAAGGCCCCTCAACTGTGGGCTTCAGCTCTGCCTCATGCTCCCAGCCCACTGAAGGTGGAAGCTTCTCTTAACTCAGACAGCTGCTGGCTGCTGAGACTGACAAACCCAAGGTCAACAAATAAATGGCATAGTCCTAAGATTATCAAACAACACAGCAGGCCACTAGTTCAAATCCAGAGACAGTCCCAAGATCGGCAAGAAACATGGCAGGCTGCTGAATGAAGACGCAGCTACATGCAGGGTCCAAGCATGCCAAAAACCTCAGAACCTTTCTCAAAGCTTCTTCTTACATACTGGAAGCAGACCACATCCCTAAGGCAGCTATTCAATTGCTCCAGTAGATTCCACCATGGAGTTGATTACCAGTCTTATTGTAGGGAATAACTACATCCAGCTGTCCAGACCCTCAAAACCAGGCCCAGCCAAGCTGACACACAACTTAACTACAAGTGCCTTCAAGTCAATTCCAACTCATAGCAGCTCCACCTACAAAAGAACAAAACACTGCCCTTTTTTTTTTTAACAATCATTGCTATGTTTGAGTCCATTCTTGCAGCCACTGTGTCAATCCATCTTGTTGAACGTCTTTCTCTTTCTCGCTGACCCTCTCCTTGCCAAGTGTGATATCTTTCTCTAGGGACTGTCCTTTATGATAACATGTCCAAAGTGTGTGAGATGAAGTCTTACCATCCTCACTTCTAAGGGCATTCTGGCTGTACATCTTCCAAGACAAATTTGTTGCAGTCTGCAGTATAGTCAGTATTCTTCACCAACACCGTAATTCATAGGCAACACTTCTTCTTTGGTCTTCTCTTTTCATTATCCAGCTTTTGCATGTGTATGAGATGACTGAATCAGGCACACCTTACTCCTCAAAGTGACATCTTGTTATTTAACACTTTAAAGAACTCTTTTGCAGTAGATTTGCTCAATGCAATATATTTTTTGATTGCTTTAAAAAAAATTCTAAAAATTTTCTAGATAATCCCTTGTCCGATATGTCATTGGCAGAATATTTTCCTGTCTACCTATGTATCCATCCATGTATTAGTGTTTGTTGTAACTGATAATGCAGTATTGTGTAACTAATATTATTTATCTTTGTTGACTATACCTCTTGTGTACCTCTCCTTGTCTTCTTTTTCCTTAGTGATATTGTGCTGGTATCTACTTTTGTTATATTACCTTTCCCTTCACTCAAATCAATAGGTGTCTCTTAACTAGCTAATAATTTTCCCTCCCCTCCCCTCCCATCCTTTATAACCAACAAAGAAAATTTCCTTATGTGCTATAAAAATGTCTATATATATATATATATATATATATAATAGAGCTAACAGGGACAAAGTTAAGATAACTTCTTAGCCACAACCAAGCTCCTTTGAGGGAGTGGGTTACTAGGCCTGCAGGCTCAGGGGACATCAAGCTCAAATGGCACAGCATAGTATGCAAGAACATTGTTCTACATCTTTCTTTGGTGAGTAGCAATTGGAGTCTTAAAAGCTTGCAAGCACCCATCTAAGATGCAACTACTGGTCTCCTCCTCTGGAGCAAAGAAGAGTGAAGAAGATCAAATGTGCTTGGAAACAGTTAGTTTAAGGGACTAATGGACCATGGGAACTGCAGCCTACATGACCCTGAGAACAGAAGAACTAAATGATGCCCTGCTACTAATGCCAGCCACTCATAAAGGGATCAAAACTGGAGATCCTGAGTAGAGTGGAAGAAAAAATGTGGAACAAAATTCAAAAACAAAAAAAAGACCAGGATTACTGGTCAGATAGACACTGGTAAAACCCCCAACACTATGGTCCTGAGTCACCCTTCAGACCTGGAATTGAACTCAGCCAAACAACAGATAGGTCTATGAGCTGGACAATTACACCAGGGCCATGCACTCCTTAGAACAGTCAACCATAGAATAGAAGGGCAGTATTTGCATAGGTAGAAAGCTAGGGAGGCAGGAATGCATAGGAAAGAAGGACATAAGGAAAAGGTGACCACAGGAAGAAGTGGGAAGAGAGCTCTTACATTTGTGGGAATTGTAATCAATGTCACAAAACAAATTGTGTATGAAATGTTGAATGGAAAATTAATCTTCCCTCTAAAATTTCATCCAAATCATGACAAAAAGTTAAAAAATGTTTTTGCAAGTCTGTGGGTTCTCTTTTTGCTCTTTTGGTGAAATGTTTTGATGTGCATTAAGTGCAGTTTTTAGGAAGTCACAGTCATCTATTTTGTCTTCTTGTGTTTGTGTGTTTTTAGTTATGTTTGATAGTGTATTTATGCCACGTATTAGGACCCCTAAGTTGGGTCCTAAGGCATTTGACTGCTAACCAGAAGGCTGGCGGTTCAAACCCACCAACCACTCCTCGGAAGGAAGGTTGGACAATCCTTCTTCTGTAGTGATACTGCCTCAGAAACCCAAGGAGGGGTCACTATGAGTCGGGGCCAACTTGATGGCACATAACAACAACAACAACACAAGTTTGTCCTTATTTTCTCTTTGATGGTCTTTATAGTTTTAGGTTTTATGTTCAGGTCCTTGATCCACCTTAAATTCATTTTTGTATATGGTGTGAGATATGGGTCCTGTTCATTTTTCTGCAAAGGGATATCCACTTTTGCCAGTCCCATTTGTTAAAGAAACTCTCTTTCCTATTTAATGAGTTTTGGCCCTTTGTCTAAGATCAGCTGTCCATAAGTGGATGGATTTACTTCTGGGTTCTCATTTCTGTACCATTGTTCTATTTGTCTGCCACTGTACCAGTACCAACCTGTTTTTACTACCATGGCTGTGTAGTAGGTTTTGAGATTAGGGTGTGTGAAGTCTTCTACTTTGTTTTTCTCCTTTAGTAGTGCTTTACTTATCTAGGTTCTCTTTCCTTTCCAAATAAAGTTGGTGATTAGTTTTTCCATCTCTTTAAAGAATGATGATGGGATCTGGATCTGAATTGCAAAGATCACTTTGGGTGGTATTGACATTTTCACAATGTTAAGTCTTCCTATCCAT